CTTCCATTTGTAGCAGAGAGCAGCGCATCTCTTCAGATAACGCTCATCTGGATGGTCCTTCAGAGCCTCCTCTGCCAAAACAATGGCCTCATCAACAGATACATATGTTTTGTAAACCCTTAGTATGGCTTTAAAACCACTGTGCTACTGACAGGATTCCTTAAAACCTCTCTGGCTAACTCACGTGCTTCATCTTCTATTCTTTCTCCTCTCTTAGCACGTTGATCAAGGTATTTAACAGCAAGGTACAAGTTCTCTGGATCCTGTTCCTTAGCAATTCTCATTTTCTCCAAGATTTCCTCTTCCAGCCCTGTGCCGCTGTGCTTTGAAGCATTCACTAACCCTATGATGTAGCTAGTGTTCCACTCCACCATGTCCGGCTGCATCTCGATGGCTTTCTGGAAGTAATCTGCAGACAGCAGCTTTTTGTCTGCGCTGAACTTCATCAGGGTCCAGGCTTTTTCAGCGTAGGTCTCCGGGTGGAGCTCCTCCTGGGATGGAGATGGGTATTTTTTATTCAGGGCGTAGACTTTTGACAGGTAGGCCTCACTCTCTGCTTGGTCTCCCAGGTGGTGATGCAACCAAGCCAGGTTCCCGTAGTTCACCACTAACCAGGGGCCCTCACCTGCGTTTCTCATGTTATTGAAGGCCTCTGTAGCCTTGTTGAAGAAACTTTGGGCGTCTTCACTGAAGCCCAGCTTGTACTGAATGAACCCTCGCAGGTTGTAGATGTGACCCTGCCAGCTGTTTCCCTCTTCAGTGCCAATGTCCTTCACGTTTTCCCTTAGACGTATAAGTAAGGATCTGCTGGGGTCCAGATCCCAGGTGAAGTGGCACTGCAGGGCCTCCAGTTTGGACACCAGTGTTTGACTCTTATGGCGCATTTCCACTACAGCGCGGAGCTCGCTTTAAGCGTGCCGTGTCGTGCCGTGCCCGTTTTTGGTTGCGCTTCCACTAGGCCTAGTTACGGCCCGGCCCGGCCCGGGGCCACTTTTTCACCTCTTTTCTGGCCCGACAAAATTGTGGTTCTATCGGGGCCAACAAACAGGGCTGAGTCGGGCTGAGTATGCTAAACTAGAGAGAGGAGCGCTGGCAAGGGGGCTACAACTACAACAAGATGGACATATTTGACCGTGATTTAATTGTAATACACGTTTCAAAATGATGCCGAAGTAACAACATACTGATACCGGTTAGTAAAAACCATGAATTAATGCTTTGTCAAGTCTGCAGACAGACGGCAGGCGAAAAACCTTTTAAAATGCGTGTTTTTCTAGATGGAGATTGGCTAAGCTAACGCAGTATATGCTCCGACCGTCCACACTCACAACAACGGCCTATACAGACATAAATAAAGCAGCGACTGTATTCACCATGACACAGGCAGTCTGTGGTGTGTACTTCTTTAACTTTTGTCGAGTTTCTGAACATATATAAGGAGCTGTGAGCTCTGAGTGCTAACAGCTAACGGCTGTGTTGTGTTTCTGGAGTTCTCATTGAAGATGACGTCACGGCTCCGCCTACACTGCGTTACTATAGTAACTACCCCAGTTCCTAAACTGTAATGGAAGCGCAGCATGAAGTGAGTCGGCCCTGTTAAGGCCCAACGCGGCCAAGCCGTACCGAGCCGTACCGAGCGTGGCCGAGGCCGACCGTGTAGTGGAAATGCGCCATTAGAGGCACTGAAGAAGAACAAAAGGAATACATTTTAAATACATATCTTTTTTTTAAATATGTTTTTAGTTATATTTTTCATTAGTTTTACCAAAATAACTTGATTTAATTGTATTTAAAATAACATTTCCAAAGAAATAAATCCTTCGAATCTGCCTATTCAGTTTCTGTTAGAATGTGAAGGGTTAAATGAAAGAAGCTCGTCTCTGCGAGTTACTGTGAAGACAGGACCTGTTGGACGTCCAGCTATGAATTCACAGAGGGCCCAGCTATAGTAACTGAACGAGAGAGTAATACCAAATGACATTACAATTGACCAATCATATCTTATATATTCCGCTGAAGTATACGCTGTGACGTAATAACTTTTTTTCTTTTTTTTTTGAGGGAAGGGGGGGTCAGAGGGCCTAGGTATAAAAGTCACGGCTCGCCACTGGGAAGGAGGATACAAGTAAGTAAGGTATAGGGTGGTAGGAAGAAAGGTATGACATTGAGCAACAAAGTCGAATAAAGCAGCCAGGAAATGTTACGGTGACTAAGGGAAATAAAATAGTTAATTAAAAAAAAGATACTAAACAGATGGATTTAGCATTTTTCCTCCTGCTGAAACATAACCACAAATACATTAATCAGTAATAGGCTGATTATTAAATAAAAGAAAAAGAAATAGGCCTACATCATTTTTAAATTCCTTTAGACCTGGCATAAATCGAAGAAGTAAATTAAGAATTAAGAAGGAACGGATTGGGTAACTTTCAGGATCCATAACGCAAAAAATTCTCCAGTAACTCAATAGTAAGACATCCATTTTCCCAATGTTACTTATGATTTACTTTTACAATGAAATCCAGAATCAGCAACTCATCTCATCATTCAGCTGTTTCCTCAGCTCTGTAGTTCTGTAAATGTTGGGATGTTTTTGCTCTTGATGCTCTGGTATAAAGTAAGTGATGTGTATCTTCAGTTTTGCTGTATGGGATGTTGTTGAGCACGGAGCTTTAAATGCTCACTGCTGCTGATAAAACAGGGGCGGGGCATTAAGGCATACATCTCATGAACTGCCTCGTCGCGCCTTGACTTTCGTTTTCCGGTAATGGAAACTACATCTGGGAGGATCAGGACAACAGCATTATTTTTTTCTCTCGTTTCCCACGAATGAAAACCTACTCTGTCACATATCTAACAAAGGGGGGGGGGGGGGGGGATAAATGTGCCTTAACTTTCGTTTCACACTTGATTCTTTAAACTGGGTCATATTTTCTGTTAAATTGACGTGGGCAAAAGTGTTTGTCTTTCTATTTAAAGCTAGCCTATATGTCATTCCATAACAAACATTGATTTGGCCAGCTCAGCCATCAATGGTAGGCTAGCTACATATTATTTTATTACATGTTTTATTTGTTGATTTTCAACGGCCCTAAAGGGTGGTCTAGCACTTTGAAATCAATTTGAATAATGTCTATTTTCCTCTTAATCTAACTATAATTTAAACACAGTTGTGTTCATTTTAAGTTAATTGTACAGTAATACATTGGACTGGAGTGCCAGACTCCTGAAAGAATAAGAAAAATATGACAAATAAAAGAGAGGACTGATCTTAGGTTACCAATGGCAGTATCACATGGCTTGATAATGTCATTTCCTCTGTGTCCTTTGACTTACAGTTTTTCTCTTCCTCTGCCAAATAAATAGGATTCGGCATGTTGAGGGACATAGTTTCAGTGTTATATGACTGTTATTTAAAATAATAGCAACACAAAGTCAATAAAAAGGCTATTTTAATATGCAAGTTGGTCACCAAGAAGGAGGGACCAGGAAATGCCATTTTCCGTGCTCAAGAACTAATCATATTTTGGCCAACATACTGTATAGCCTACAGGTCTATACATATTATCATGATCTTAATTTGTATTATTTTGTCCTTGTGTCTTGTTTTACTTCCTGTCTCTGCTTTCCCTCCCATGTGATTGTCCAACAGAGGTGGGAAGTAACTAAGTACATTTACTCAAGTACTGTACTAATATACCATTTTGAGATACTTTACTTGACTGTTTTCATTTTGAGGTACTTTACTTGACTGTTTTCATTTTATGCTACTCTGTACTTCTACTCCATTACAATTTCAGAGGTCAATTGTGTACTTTTACTCCACTAAATGTATTTAATGATGTGAAATATAATCAACACTTATTTTTAGTTAGACCTGGAGTAAATTCACAAGCTACCCTGCAGTATACAAAGTCATTCAAACTAGCTGCACCTTTACCAGCTTTGAGAACACTTTAATACATCAATAATTATAATCAAAACATATTATATATTATTCTGAAATGGGCGAATCTGCATATTAAGTACTTTACTTTTTGTACGTTAAGTATATTTTGAGGGTAATTATTTTGTACTTTTACTTGAGGAACATTTTGATTGCAGGACATTAACTTGTAAAAGAGTATTCCTACACTCTGATTCTTCTGCTTTTACTTAAGTACAAGAACTGAGTACTTTTTCCACCTCTGTTGTGCATGCCCAGCTGTTGTCTTGGTGATTAGTCTTTTGTGTATACATGCCTGTTTTCCCTCGTGTTCTCCGTAAGTTCTTCGTCATTGTTTCCATAGTTTGGTTCCTGTTCCCTCTCTGTATTCTTCTGGATTTCCCTCGTCTGCCGTCCTATGTCCTCCAAGTTTACCCGGTTTGTTACTCGTTTTTGTTAGCTACTTTTCTTTTGTTGACCTTGTCTAACCCTCAATTTTTTATTTATTTATTTGGAACATATTTGATTATTAAAGCTTGCTTTTTGTTTATACTTGTATACCTGCCTCTTTCATTATGCATTTGGGTCCTGATTCCCTTTCCCTGTGACACATATAGGATTCATAGAAAGAGACAGTGCATGGTGATATGTAAATGAGTTCATATCAAATGGAAAAGTTAAGTTTTAATGCACGTTATTTCATACTCATTTAGATAATGAGCAGCAGCTGTCTGCAGTGTCAGAATGAAGAGCTGTTGGAGACACCTGCACCATGACGCTCTGCTGCTGCCATCTACTGCTGTAACCAGGTTACTGTTTGGATACCACATACTGCTGAACTAAAAAAGAAAACACTTCTTTTAACATAAAAGTTCATCTTCTTTTATAGAAGCAGTGTCTTTCTGCGCCCCTTATCCCTTGGGAAAATTCTCATACAGCTGTTTGTGTTTATTGCTCATCCTTGTTGACTTCAAAGTGGAACATTTAAGCACCTTGTGTGCAGTACTGCTACATTTTCTATAGAGTATATGCATGTATTAACCCTAAAGCAACCAGGAAACCAAAAACAAGTACATTTCTTGGTTTACATAATGCATTTTTATTGTTTTTTACAATATAGAGGCACTCTTGATATATAATCAGTTGCATCATGCAATACTATTGAGGTTATACATCCATCATATATTGAAATACCAATCACACATTTTTATATTACACAAATAAAAGCTTACGGCAAAGCACATTTCATAGGTTATAGAGTATTTTTGCTAGAAAGAACAGTGCACATGGAAAAAACATGCACATAGTTCAGAAAAACAACATGTCAACAACCAGTGTTATAAAGGATTTGGCTTATTTCCTAAATCGAGTGTAGGCTACTACTGCTGACAGTTTTTCAGTGCATAAACTCTCAGATACATCTTCTCAATCAATAAGTATATACAGATTATTTTTAGGTAGTGCAATACCTAGGTTTTTTTCTGATTGTTTTACATGCTGTTAAAAACACTATGGCTCTTGCAGGTTTGCCAGAAACTCCCTTATTTCTCCGCACATTCTGTCCCTGCCTTTGGCCCTGATCTTCTCCAGAACTTTGATGCTGCCGTCACGATAGAAGGATTGGTGCGGTATTGCTGCTGCCTTCATGTGATATTTGAGTGACTTTTGATACTCCTTTCGATCGAAATTTAAATATCTTGCGTAGTTGTTGTAAAGCACCTGTTTGTCTGCTGGTTCCAAATCCCTTTCTAGCAGTTCCTGATATATCTGCTCAGCTTTAGCCTGGCCATCATTTGCCTTTCCATACACATTTGCAAGGTCTATCTTCTTCACAAGGGAAGAATGAGGGTAGAGAGAAATCACCTCCCGATGGAGACCCACTGCTCTGTCTATCATGCTTTTCTTTGGGCGACTGTCCCTGGAAAGAATTATCTTCCATTTGTAGCAGAGAGCAGCGCATCTCTTCAGATAACGCTCATCTGGATGGTCCTTCAGAGCCTCCTCTGCCAAAACAATGGCCTCATCAACAGATACATATGTTTTGTAAACCCTTAGTATGGCTTTAAAACCACTGTAGCTGCTGACAGGATTCCTTAAAACCTCTCTGGCTAACTCACGTGCTTCATCTTCTATTCTTTCTCCTCTCTTAGCACGTTGATCAAGGTATTTAATAGCAAGGTACAAGTTCTCTGGATCCTGTTCCTTAGCGATTCTCATTTTCTCCAAGATTTCCTCTTCCAGCCCTGTGCTGCTGTGCTTTGAAGCATTCACTAACCCTATGATGTAGCTAGTGTTCCACTCCACCATGTCCGGCTGCATCTCGATGGCTTTCTGGAAGTAATCTGCAGACAGCAGCTTTTTGTCTGCGCTGAACTTCATCAGGGTCCAGGCTTTTTCAGCGTAGGTCTCCGGGTGGAGCTCCTCCTGGGATGGAGATGGGTATTTTTTATTCAGGGCGTAGACTTTTGACAGGTAGGCCTCACTCTCTGCTTGGTCTCCCAGGTGGTGATGCAACCAAGCCAGGTTCCCGTAGTTCACCACTAACCAGGGGCCCTCACCTGCGTTTCTCATGTTATTGAAGGCCTCTGTAGCCTTGTTGAAGAAACTTTGGGCGTCTTCACTGAAGCCCAGCTTGTACTGAATGAACCCTCGCAGGTTGTAGATGTGACCCTGCCAGCTGTTTCCCTCTTCAGTGCCAATGTCCTTCACGTTTTCCCTTAGACGTATAAGTAAGGATCTGCTGGGGTCCAGATCCCAGGTGAAGTGGCACTGCAGGGCCTCCAGTTTGGACACCAGTGTTTGACTCTTAGAGGCACTGAAGAAGAACAAAAGGAATACATTTTGAATACATATATTTTTTTTAAATATGTTTTTAGTTATATTTTTCATTAGTTTTACCAAAATAACTTGATTTAATTGTATTTAAAATAACATTTCCAAAGAAATAAATCCTTCGAATCTGCCTATTCAGTTTCTGTTAGAATGTGAAGGGTTAAATGAAAGAAGCTTGTCTCTGCGAGTTACTGTGAAGACAGGAGCTGTTGGACGTCCAGCTATGAATTCACAGAGGGCCCAGCTATAGTCACTGAACGAGAGAGTAATGCCAAATGACAGTACAATTGACCAATCATATCTTCCCTCTAAATGGGTGGGTTTTATTTTCGCGGACTTTATGACAAGTTCCGCCCACTGTGAAACTTTTCTTGTTTCCATAGCAACAACAACTTCCTGTCAACAGCGTAAACTCGCCTTCAAAATAAAGGCATGCCAAATTACACTTAAGACATACAACTGCAACGAAAGTAACAAACACAATGCAATATCCTTTTCAATTTCAACACAAATTGGGTTATTTACAGGTGTTGTTTTGTGTGGGAGAGGGTCGCTTTCATTGATGCGTGTTGCACCCCGGGCCGTTGTTTTGATATTCCGCTGAAGTATACGCTGTGACGTAATAACTTTTTTTCTTTTTTTTTTCGAGGGAAGGGGGGGGTCAGAGGGCCTAGGTATAAAAGTCACGGCTCGCCACTGGGAAGGAGGATACAAGTAAGTAAGGTATAGGGTGGTAGGAAGAAAGGTATGACATTGAGCAACAAAGTCGAACAAATTAGCCAGGAAATGTTACGGTGACTAAGGGAAATAAAATAGTTAATTAAAAAAAAAAGATACTAAACAGATGGATTTAGCATTTTTCCTCCTGCTGAAACATAACCACAAATACATTAATCAGTAATAGGCTGATTATTAAATACAAGAAAAATAAATAGGTCTACATCATTTTAAAATTCCTTTAGACCTGGCATAAATCGAAGAAGTAAATTAAGAATTAAGAAGGAACGGATTGGGTAACTTTCAGGATCTATAACGCAAACAATTCTCCAATAACTCAATAGTAAGACATCCATTTTCCCAATGTTACTTATGATTTACTTTTACAATGAAATCCAGAATCAGCAACTCACCTCATCATTCAGCTGTTTCCTCAGCTCTGTAGTTCTGTAAATGTTGAGATGGTTTTTGCTCTTGATGCTCTGGTATAAAGTAAGTGATGTGTATCTTCAGTTTTGCTGTATGATGGGATGTTGTTGAGCACGGAGCTTTAAATGCTCACTGCTGCTGATAAAAACAGGGGCGGGGCATTAAGGCATACATCTCATGAACTGCCTCGTCGCGCCTTGACTTTCGTTTTCCGGTAATGGAAACTATATCTGGGAGGATCAGAACAACAGCATTATTTGTTTTCTCTCGTTTCCCACGAATGAAAACCTACTCTGTCACATATCTAAGAAGGGGGGGGGGGGGGGGATAAATGTGCCTTAACTTTCGTTTCACACTTGATTCCCTAAACTGGGTCATATTTTCTGTTAAATTGACGTGGGCAAAAGTGTTTGTCTTTCTATTTAAAGCTAGCCTATATGTCATTCCATAACAAACATTGATTTGGCCAGCTCAGCCATCAATGGTAGGCTAGCTACATATTATTTTATTACATGTTTTATTTGTTGATTTTCAACGGCCCTAAAGGGTGGTCTAGCACTTTGAAATCAATTTGAATAATGTCTATTTTCCTCTTAATCTAACTATAATTTAAACACAGTTGTGTTCATTTTAAGTTAATTGTACAGTAATACATTGGACTGGAGTGCCAGACTCCTGAAAGAATAAGAAACATATGACAAATAAAAGAGTGGACTTATCTTAGGTTACCAATGGCAGTATCACATGGCTTGATAATGTCATTTCCTCTGTGTCCTTTGACTTACAGTTGTTCTCTTCCTCTGCCAAATAAATAGGATTCGGCATGTTGAGGGACATAGTTTCAGTGTTATATGACTGTTATTTAAAAATAATAGCAACACAAAGTCAATAAAAAGGCTATTTTAATATGCAAGTTGGTCACCAAGAAGGAGGGACCAGGAAATGCCATTTTCCGCGCTCAAGAACTAATCATATTTTGATACCACTTTTCCTACAACTTCATTTTCATTTTGTCTAAGGACAAGTACATCTAGCAAAACAAGTGCACTTTTTAACATTTTGGGCATGGGTTATTTGAAATGTCATACGTGGGAGAGAAAATGTCCTCCAATTTTGGAATGACCCATATTACAGGGTGTGTTGGTTGGTTGTTATATATACAGTTGATACATCAATCACAGGTGAAGCTAGAGACATCATGAATCTCTGCTGCCATCTACTGGTGTTGCAGGTTAAAGACATTGTGCTCGCTTGTGAAATAGAACGAGACCATAACTCATATTTTCAACTTCAATGTGTTTACCCTGCTAAAGTGATGTGTAAAAGTGACAGCTGTTAAAAAGGACAACAGTTTATCTGACTTCAAAAACTATAATTACAATAATAGGCCTACTACTAATTATAATAATATAGTTACTTTATATTTTTCTAGGTATCGGGATAATCGGGTACCAACCATAGACTGTATATATAAAGGTACCAACATATTCCAGTGCTGCAGATCACCAAGATGCTTATATTTGGAATGTTTTTTGTTGTTTTTTGTTTTTTGTTTTTTGTTGTGCAATAAGTTTTTAATTTCTGTCTCTATATATGTATACGTGGGTGTTGAAGGATCTACAACTCACATTCCATTGTGTGAACCTGTTTTGAAAAAGAAATGTAGCTTGTAGCTGTGTAAATGAGTGTTATGTTCAAAACATGTTCAAAACATAGACTGTATATATAGGTTCAAAAGCAAATTACGTTTTCAAACTGCGCAGTTTACGTTAAGCACGTACGACAGACATTTCCTGCGTAGTTAGCAATGGCGGAGCTCAAAGAGGCAGATGCTGCTCAGCTACACCAGGAGGACGTCGATATCAAACGTAAGTTAATTCACCCCATTTGTCGTTTCAACTCCAAATTTAGGACATATAATTGTAAAACACATTCCAATGTAGTCGCTATCAGCACTGTGCAGTGAATTCATAGTGAATATCAGTTTGTAACTGCTTAACTAAACGAGGGCCTCACCACGGAGCTCCGCCATGGGACCTAAATAGTCAACAATAACAGCGACGAAGACGCAGGAGCTTACACTAGCCTAACCATTGTGGTCAGCAGTTCTCTAAAGTAGTCTATCTCTTCGCAGTTGCTTTTTGTAAGTGTTGTATTCAGGATGTACACCACAGGTTTGGTTGACACGGTCTCTTCACGGAGCTGCACTACAGGGCCGCTCAGTTACTTAGGACATCGACTGTCCATTATTCAACGGTTAAATGTCTACGGAGACTGGTTTTGGTTTCACACAAAAAAAACTCGCGTTAGGAAATGGAAGGGTTTCGAAAGTGTGATACGGTCTATCTATGGAATGGAGCAGGGATATATGGTCTGTAGCAAGTATATTATGTATTGTAGGCTATAATGTAGGCTACATGTAACTATATTAGAGAATACTGAGGTCATGACAAACACTATACTGTAGCAGCTAATGTAACTTTACTTTACCAAACGTTTTATTTTTAATGTAAAACCTCCAAATACCAAGATACATATCTTTATAACTACAGCCCTGGTGGGAGCTAATCTATTAATATATTATCCACAGCAGTTTCAATATTTGAATACTTCTTTTAAGTAATGTAGCGAGACAAACACCATACATCTTCCTATTGAAGTTTCTTCATTGTCTCTGAATTTTAGTTTTTCTCTGTATGATGTCACAGTAAAATAATGCTGTTCATGATTCAATGAATTAATCAATACATCACTAGTTGCACTTCATTAGATAATGGTACCTAGACTTTTATAGCTCCAACTTTTAAAAGTAGAGGACATAGGCCTACATTGTTTTTGAAAGTCGTTGAGTAGACAAATATGAACAAACTGCTTTATCTCCTTTTTTTGTTAGCTGGTTTCAGTAGCTGTGTAGCTGATGAACTGCAGCTGGGGCTCTCAGTGAATTAAACTAGATAGCTTTATAAATCATTTATTTCCATTTATTTCTGTCTGTGAAGGTGCAGATGGTGGAGATGCATCGTCAGCTGGGGACAAAGCTGCAGATCAGGCAGAGAAGACTGAAGGCGCTGCAGACAGTGACGCCAAGCCCTCAACTACCACTTCAGGTGATTTAATAAACGCTCTTTCTGTGTGGATGGGTTCGATGGCCTCATGTCATCTGTATTCACTGACTTTAGGGAGGAAACATTAATGATATGGACTAAAACTTTTTTCTGACTGAACACAACATCTTAATGTTGTCTCCTTTTCACAGACAGACACATCTCCATCCAGACTAAACTGGAAGGACTCGAGGTGCTGGTTGACCTCAATGGTGGTGAGTTCACTTTTACAGGAAGTATTCATAATGCGTTCCTTATCTTGGGCTTTACCAAACGTACATTTCAGAGCTGCTGATGACTACATGTTATATTTTATGAAGTAAGCATCCTTAAAGGTGGGGTAGGTAAGTTTGAGAAACCGGCTCGAGATACACTTTTTGTTATATTCCATCGAATGCTCTTAACATCCCGATGGCAATGAATATCTTAAGTGCTTTGAAAAAAAATCCATAAAAGAATTTCATCTGTGGAAGCCGTAGTACTGTAAAAAGCACGACCAATCATTTTAGCCGGCCCGGCTAAAATAACTGGATGGCCAACCTGCCTGTCAGCCTTCCATCTGTGCACAAACGTATCTCGTGCCCTCATTGGTCATGTGCATGTTCGTGTGTGTTGGAGGAGGGACTCTGTAAGGAAGTGGCAGATTTTTTCCGGCTGTGTATTTTCAAATTTTAGCGCACTCGAGCTGGTTTCTCCAAAATTACCTACCCCACCTTTAAATAGTTTAATAGTTTCTGCTGAACTGTCCAGTCTCCTACATGAGAGAAACAAGGCCTGGGCAAAGGCTAGGAAATCAGGCTCAGAGGTTGAATGGCTGCGTTTTAGGCAACTAAGAAATAGCTTCACTTCACAGGTCAAAAGTGCTAAGTCGAAGTACTATTTGTCAGTTACTACAGAAAACCTAAATAATCCTAGGAAATTTTGGAAAGCCATAAAATCGCTATCCACCGGTGAGATCCGAAATGAGCTACCTCCGTGCATTACCACAACATCTGGCTCTATATCGGACAGGGCTACTATGTTAAATTGTTTTAATGAGCATTTTGTGTCCTGCGGTTCTATGTTTGATTCTGTGACTAACTCTGCTTCTGTGAACACCACAGTCGGTGACTCTGAACAATGTGGTCTGGAAAACCCTTTCAGTTTTACTCCTTTTACTGTTGATGTTGTTCGTGAAGCTTTAACCAAGTTAGATCCTAAGAAACCGGCCGGCCCGGACAACGTGGAACCTTTCTTTTTAAAGATAGCTGCAGATTTTATTGCTCCACCTCTCACTACTCTTTTTAACCTCTCCCTCAGCACAAACACAATTCCAAAACTGTGGAAGTCAGCGTATGTCCTGCCTTTGCTGAAAGGAGGGGAGGCAACTGTTTTAAATAATTATAGGCCCATCTCTAAATTGTCAATTCTGGCTAAGGTTCTTGAACGCCTAGTGAGTGAACAGGTAAAGGTGTTTTTATGTACAAATGACATCCTGTCTAAACATCAGTCAGGCTTCAGAAAGCAACATAGCACCATCACTGCCACAATGAAAGTGGTGAATGATGTGGCGAGTATTTTAGATAATAAGCAGAGTTGTGCAGCTCTATTTATTGACCTTTCCAAAGCGTTTGATACCGTCGATCATCGCATCTTAAAGCAGAGGCTACTCAGTATTGGCTTATCCAGCCATGCAGTGGGGTGGTTTGTGAACTACCTCTCTGAAAGGTCCCAATGTGTTCATTTTGATGGGCTGTCTTCTGAGTGGTTAAACATTACTAATGGTGTTCCTCAAGGTTCTGTTTTAGGTCCACTTTTATTCTCCATCTACATCAATAGTTTAGGTGAAAATGTCGATGGAGCAACCTTACATTTTTATGCGGATGATACCGTTATGTACTGTGCATGTCCCTCCATTAAGGAGGCTGTTGTTGAATTGCAAACTGCTTTTAACATTATTCAGACTCAGCTCTCTGAACTAAAGCTTCTTTTAAATGTTGATAAAACCAAGGTAATGCTCTTTTCAAAAGCCAAAAAGACACCAGAGCCTGTTTTAGATATTTTAACTACGCAAGGAATAAAACTTGAAGTGGTTGCCTGTTACAAATACCTTGGTATCTGGCTTGATGATTGTCTCACTTTTAAACGTCATGTCAATAACCTGCTTAAAAAACTGAGGGTTAGACTAGGTTTCTTCTACAGGAACAAGTCCTGTTTCTCGCTCGAGGCCAGAAAAGGCTAGTCACTGTGACCTTTTTACCTGTGCTGGACTATGGTGATCTGATTTATATGAATGCACCTGCCAATTGCCTGGTCAAGTTAGATGCTGCGTATCACAGTGCACTGAGATTTGTGACAAACTGTAAAGCATTAACTCATCACTGTACCCTGTATGCAAGGGCTGGTCTGCCTTCACTAACTGTACGGAGGCTCAGTCACTGGTACATTTTTATATATAAAGCCATGTTAGGGAAACTTCCATCCTACATCTGCTCCCTGATCTCACGGCGAATTGTAAGTGGCTACTGCCTGAGATCGCATGCTGTGGTTTTATTAAATGTGCCAACTGCTAGGACTGTCTTAGGGAAAATAGCATTTAGATGCGCAGCTCCACTGTCCTGGAATAGTCTGCAATTAAAATGGAAACTGAGCAATCTGGTGCCACTAAATGTTTTTAAAGCTCGGTTGGATGCTACTGAATCGGAAGCTGTTGGTACTTGTGCATGTGGATAGTATGTAATTTGTAATCCCTGTAATGCTACTGTATGATGTCCTCTTGTTGTTCTGTTTATGTTTTTAATGTTTCATGTGGAACCTACTTGAGCAGGTCTCCCTTGAAAAAGAGGTCAATGATCTCAATGGGATACAACCTGAATAAATAAAGGTTTGAAATGAAATACTAGGGGATTTTTTTGTTATTGTGGTTTAATAAATGTAATTTTTTTATTGTGAGATGGCTGCTGGAACGACCCGTTAATACAGCAAACTGTTTTTTGACCACAGTGAACATTTTGTATTTGAAAGGCTTAACACTACAAATATGGATTGAAGCAGAATTTATTGGATTACCTGATGTGATTTTAGAAAAATTAAAAAATTTTACAATAAATATTGACTTTTATTAACATGTTGTAGTTAGTGCAGAATGTTTGAATCGGATTATATGGGAATACACCATGGGAACCCAACCTAACCTAATGTAATAAAACTAATACAATTTGGCTTTAAAAACAATTCATACTCTTTTGATTTTGTATTTGAATGTCAATGTTGTGAATGAAGCTTTGAATCTTAAAATTATCAGGTGCAGCCCTACTGCTTTCTTTAGATTTTTAATATTAAAAAAAAATCTCATAATGTAGAAGAACATTTAAATGAAATTGTGACTTTTAAAGCTGCAGTTTAAAGGCGATTATCAGTGAGTCACGCAAGAGAATACATCAGACACTATTTTGATAATCAAATAACTTTTAAAGTATTTGTCATGCAACCAATTTAACTTGTCTATACTTCTCAGGTGGCCATTTTTAAGTTTTGGAATGTTGGTTGGACACAGCAAGATATTTTAGATGTCGTGTTTGCTGTTAAAAAAAAAGTGTTATATGTTTTTGACAGTTTTAGAGAATAGAATTAAGAGAAATAATCTAGAGAATGATAAAAAATGAAATTAACTTTTATATACATCCTTGGTTTTTGATTTTGTGTTTTCACTCACCAGCGGGACGTAAGTCTTGCCCTCTGTGTCCCGAGGAGAAGTTTAAAGCCTGCTATAGCCACAAGCTCCGCAGACACCTGCAGAACCTCCACTGGAAAGTCTATGTGGAGTTTGAAGGTAGGAACATGAAACACAAGGTCACACAATGATGCTCTCCTACACAAACTGGAAAAATAATCTTTATGGAGCTGGCTTTGTGCCATGCTGAAACAGGAAGATGGAAGAACACTTTTGCCATTTGAGTTATACTATGGATGTATTAATGGCGCATTTCCACTACACAGCCTCGCTCGGCCTCACTCGGTATGGCTAGGCCTCATTATGCCTTGTTAGGACTGGCTCACTTTATGCTGTGCTTCCATTACAGTTTAGGAACTGGGGTAGTATCTATAGTAACGCAGTGTAGGCGGAGCCGTGACGTCATCTTCAATGAGCACCCCAGAAAAACTGTCTGTCTGTCTGCAGACTTGTCAAAGCATTAATTCATGGTTTTTACTAACCGGTATCAGTATGTTGTTACTTCGGCATCATTTTGAAATGTGTATTACAATTAAATCACGGTCAAATATGTTCATCTTGTTGTAGTTGTAGCCCCCTTGCCAGCGATTCTCTCTCTAGTTTAGCAAACTCAGCCGGACTCAGCCCTGTTTGTTGGCCCCAATAGAACCACGATTTTGTCGGGCCAGAAAAAAGGTGAAAAAGTAGCCCCGGGCCGGAACTAGGCATAGTGGAAACGCAACCAAAAACGGGCCCGGCACGACACGGCACGCTTAAACCGCGCTCCGCGCCATGGTGGAAATGCGCCATAATGGCGCATTTCCACCATGGCGCGGAGTGTGGTTTAAGCGTACTGGATACAGCGAACTGGATACAGCATCTGAGGTGTGGCCCCGTTCATTCCTATGAGAGCTGCCCAGTGGTGCATGAAGCCAGAATGGAGCGACTGTAGGTCCCGCCTCCGATCTCCCGCTCTCGCCTCAGTCAAATGAATGGAGAGGGAAAATAGCTCTGGATACATTTTTTGTGCATTTTACAACTTTTAGACCCTAATCATTTAAATAAGACCTATAAAAGTGTTCGAACTAGGTATATTACTTAGCTTAAAAAGATATATACTGACTTACAGATGTCTCTTTCACAATGTCAGTCAATAGGAAAAAGTATTTTTGGGCGCAATGACGTCACGGACTAGAACGGAAGAGTTGTACCACCGTTTGGCCGCTACGAAAATCACTCTTCCTGGACGCTTGAGTTACATTTTCTGGTTAAAAAAGACAACAATTAGCCCCAACCACTTCCAGCTAACACAGTCAGTGAACATTTGTGGAAATAAGGAAAATGTTATCATCATTTCTCAAATTAAACTATTTAAAATGTATTGGATTGTGTAATACCTACTTAGGTTGTTTATTTATATTGTTTATGATAATTATTATATTAAGAGTTTGACATACTTTACTGCTAATTTGATGTGTTATTTTTGTTACATGTCCAAAAGAAATTAAATGTCTGTTGGTCAGACAAAATAAACAGTTTTAGGAACATATTTTTGGCATTTATCATCTTTATCTTTATTTATTTATATAGCACATTTAAAACAACCTTCAGTTGACCAAAGTGCTGTACAGGCAATACATATTAAATAACACAATGGGAGTACAATAATAAAACAATAATTAAAAACATGATAAAAAGCACAATAACTAGAAAAATATTTAAAAAAAACAAAAAAAATCATAAATTATCATCATTTCTTCTGACATTTTTAATAGATCATAGAGTAAGTTTATACTAGCAGCTGTGAAGGCTATACCGAGAGAACAAATCCAAAATACAGCATCAAGAGACTCCACGTACCTTTGGCCGTTCATTGCCGTCATACAGGTCGGAAAAAGTGTGCAAAGTTAAAAAAATCATGTTTTCCTTACTTGTACAGTAATGATAAAGAAATGCATGTGAAAGTGACAGCTAAGGACATCTTCTAATCCTGATGCATAACTGTTGACCTTGAACAGGCCAGATGATGTGCATCTGCCACCTGCCCTGCAGAAACCTGAAACCCAGCCTCAGTGGAGATCAGGTGAGACCTTAGACACACACACACACACACACACACACACAGACACACACACACACACACACACAGACACAGAGAGACACAGAGACACAGACACAGTCTAGAGATCACGTTCCCTTCAGTTTGGAACAATAAGAGCAAACCCTGTAGCAACGGGCTTCATCGACATACGACTGATGATCCCTTTATACATTTCACATACTTAGTTTCAGCATACATGTTGTTGTGCTGCAGTAAACACTACTTTTAAGGTTCTTGTACATTCTGTATTGTTACTTTTATTATGAAATGTGACCTAAATAATGTAAATCAGAAAAAAACAGAACCTTCTTCACCATGTGGAAATAAATCCTCACTCTGTAAAACCCCTAATATATTCCCAAACATGTTTTGCCTTTTAATCATAAAAGCTGTTTTTCATGATTGAGCAAAAGTAGGCAACAATTGACTGTCTCTGCATTCTGTCATTCTTAAAGAGGCTCTATTAGGCTTTCTCCTGTAATCTAATCACATCACTATGTCACACTCCCGCTTCTATTGGCTAGCGCTCCAACACCATGTACGTGATTGGCTAAGGCGTGGGACATCTCTTAGCACTTGACCAATAAGCTGTCCAGCTAACCAATCAGAGAAGACTGGGCTCTGGTTTCAGACAGAGGGTGAAAAGAGGTGCTGCAGCACAGGCAGTATGAGAACAATAAAGAGCTTTTTGAAGAATAAAGCATGGAGACATGTCACAGTAGAGGCACAAAATACAAATATCAACCTGAAAATGTACATAATAGAGCCCCTTAAAAAAATTCACAAGTAATATGGTCCAAATTCTGAATTGGTAAATACTGAATTCTAAGGCATTTCCTCTCATCATGCCATTTGACATTATTGTGAAGATGCTGCATTTCTTTACTTCTTTCACCCCTAAATTAAGTTCATCCCAATATATTCTGTCCAGGCCTCGGGGAGACACGTGGCTCACTACCACTGTGTGGTGTGTTCTGTCACCATCGCCCGGAAGACGGACATGATCAGCCACCTGAAGCGGCACGTCAACAAAGGAGAGACTGAGGCCAGCTACTCGGGGAGCTCAGACGTGCAGTATGAGGAGCCGGGTAAGAAACAGCGACACCATCTACTCACAACATGCTCCACTAGATTCAAACAGGAAATGGTCAAAACAAACTTTCACTCAGCTCTAAAAAAAACACTAGATGGTACAGTTTAATTTCAAAATCCCAGGTTTGAGTCTTAAAATACATATATTTATATAAGAACATTGGACTTCAGGACTATTTATATGTAAAGGTGAAACGATGCAGCCCTACTTATCTTTACGGAGCTTTTATACTGAGTAACAGCTTTTTTTAAATTGTTTTATTTCACACCACAGACAGGCACAGTTAGAGACTGGCTGAAGTCATGGTGGAGCATTTAGCAGCTAAAGTGACGGATATTGTTCTCGTTATGCAACTGCTTGCTAACACATTTTCTTAGGATTGAGGTTTTTGCCCGTAGCTTACATCTAGCCGATGTTGATGGTTAATTTGCAAAAATAGATAATTTCTCTAGTATTTTTTTAATACCAAATTATGTATTTTTTGTCTCCAATCCATTTAATATCAATCAGTTGGTGTGGTTGTATTTATCTTAAGAATGGATTTTATCTTGTGTTGCACATTAACTCACTCAAAGCATCACATTTCTTGGATCTTAAGAAAAAAAAACAATGAATACAGGATAAATATAATTATATATACATTTTGACAACACCCAGAACTTTGAAGACTACGAGCTGCGTTAAGGAATTTTAAAAACGACACTATCACAGTCTTCTTCTGTTAAAGACATGATTTTTATAAGATAAGATGGACCTTTATTAATCCCCGTGGGGAAATTCAGTGGTTTAACAGCAACAGGGTAAGAATGAAAAACAGGACAGCACAGAGTCACACAGATTAATACAATTAAAGATCAAATCAAAGATAAAAATAAAAATGATAAAAAACGATGAATTAAGAGATGAATTAAAGTGAACATATATACATATTGGGTCATATATACCGGTACATATTAGATATATTTACATGAATGTGTGGAAGCAGAATATCCAGAAGTTTCTCCTTATTAAAAAGCTCTTAACTCCAAATCTGTTCCACCTCCTACCTCAGATCATCCCTGTTGAGGCACCACTTTGTGTTTGTTAATCCGACAGACATTACATTCTTCCTGTCCAAAACAATACAGAATCTTGCTGATCTTTCTCTGTCTTTTTCATTTACAAATTCCGTCTGCAGCTCCGTCCGGTCAGCCGTATGAGATCATGAAAGAACTTGGAACCAACGTCCAGCTCCTCCCGAACCACACCACCCCGCAGAAGAGCGACACCTACTTCAACCGCAAGATGAAGACCAACAGGTCAGCCTGAAAACAACACCAGTTCTCACAAAAATGTATAATCATGCAGATTTATGTTATGAAAACCAACATGCATTAAAGCAGGGTTGTGTGTGTCTCAGGCAGCTGGTGTTTTGCTCCCTGGCGGTGCTGGCGGAGGAGAGGAGCCCGATCGAGTGTCTGGATGCTTTTGGAGCCACAGGTGAGATTCAACAGTTTTTCCTGTATCACGCTAGTATCTTACTGTAATCTCTCCATTGTTGCTTTACCTATGAGTTTAGATCTCCAAATGCGTATCTTCTATTGTTCATATTTTGCATATTATTTGAATTTTTTGTTATATACCCATTTATCTTTTCTTTAACTTTCTCTTATTATCTGTATTTTTTGCACTTTATAGCAAATCTTTATTTTGGAGTAATTAGTTTTAACAAAATGATGGCTGCTTATTTATATAAAACAGCCAAAGAACATTGCATTTAAATAAAGTATACATTTATACATTTTAAATTACTTGCCATTTATCTGCATTTAAAGTCAGGGTTTTCCTGCCATCTACTGTGAAACAAATCACAGCTGCTTTTGACGTCATTTCAATATGTGGTGTTTTGATCAAATACATTAGTGTAGTAATTTTGCACAAAATAAAATACAAGTCTTCCAACTGTTTTGACATCATTTAATCTCCTCCTTCAAAATACATTTATTTCACAGAGTTAAGATAAGAATCATTAACTTGATTCTATTGTTGTCAAATTCCTGCCAATAATAGTAGTCATTTTTACCATATTGGCTAAATTCTGATCTTAAACAACGTTGTGATCAAATAATCAGTCAATTATAATTGAATTATAATAATTAAATATAAATAATTAATTATAATACATTTTTATAACAACATTCCACACAAAAAATCCAAATATTTACCTTGTCTTTGAGGATTTTGAAGTACTATCTTTGCTTTTAAAATAGTAGGTCGGATCGGATAGGTCTTTAAAAAAATACACTGATGCGTAGAATTGTTTACAAAATTACAACACACGCATTACCCACTTCTTTCCACTCCACTTTACACATCAAATGGAGGAACAGTCCTTTAAATGTCAAATTGGGATTAAGAAAATTGTAATGGATTTATTTGTTTACTATTTTCTGTTATTTATACAACAAAAGAGTAATTGATTAACTTTTATTGCAACCGTGGTTTAAAGACAGTCCAATCTTGAATCTGAGACTAAAAGACATTGTAAAACAAATGTCTTTTCACTGAAGATTGATGATCAACTGTAAAATATATCCATTTGAAAAAGAAAAGAGAGGAGCATAGAGTCTGCATCCACATTAAGCCTTGCCTTGAATTCTTCCTGTCCGTCTCTCAGGGATTATGGGCCTCCAGTGGGCGAAGCACCTCCGCAGCGCTGTTAAAGTGACCATCACAGATATCAGCGACACGTGCGTCAAAATGATCAAAGAGAACTGCGAGCTCAACAACATCCGGGTGGACGGAGGCTCGCGAGGCCCCCGGGGTCCCGAGGTGGCCACCAGTGAGGTTGAGGGAACACCCATCGCTACGGTGGAGGTCGTCAAGATGGACGCCAACGTCACCATGCACCTGTGGCCCTTCGACTACATGTAAGTCGGAAGATAGTTTGTAATTAGTTTAGCTTATTGGTTAGATGTTTTAGTCTTTATTAATAGTTTCACACATTTGAGGGCAAAACGGTGAACACATGTTACAGACTAAATGTAATTATCACAACATATATTTGTAAAAAAACGTACTGAAACGAACATAGTGGCATATAAGTCGCATTGCAGGAATATAAATCCAATTAATCAAGTATTGTGTCTGTATCCTTCTTCCTCTGTGCCATAGTTGTCTAGAAACTATTAAAGGGGCCCTTTCCTGCCTATTTTCAGGTTCATATTTGTATTGTGTGCCTCTACTTTGACATGTTTACATGCTTTAATGGGCTCTGGTTTCAGACAGAGGGTGAAAAGAGGTGCTGCAGCACAGGCAGTATGAGAAAAATAAAGGGCTTTTGAACATTAAAGCATAGAGACTTTTCCCAGTAGAGGCACAAAACACAAATATGAAACCTTAAAATACGCACAATAGGGCCCCTTTAACTTTCTACAGAGTAAAATAAATGAATGCTTCCTAAAAATGTGCAGTTATTAATTGACTCTTTTCAATCTTCCAGTCACTTGGATCCGTTCGGCACTGCAGTGAACTACCTGGACGCTGCCTTCAGGAACATCCGGAACCTGGGCATCATCTCTGTGACGTCCACCGACACGTCCTCTCTGTACTCCAAGAGTCCCAACGTCACCCTGCGGCACTACGGCTGCCACATCATCCGCACCGAGTACTACAAAGAGCTGGCTGCACGCATGGTGGTGGACACAGTGTCCAGGTAGGACTTCACATCCTGGATGTCTGTCTGCCCTGATGTGGCAGAAAAAATAAAACCCTGAATATTGCTGTGTGTTGCAGAGCGGCGGCTCGCTGTAACAAAGGCATCGAGGTGCTGTTGGCCGTGGCCCTGGAGCATTTCGTCTTGGTGGTGGTGCGAGTCCTCCGGGGCCCCACGCAGGCGGACGAGTCCACGAAGAAGTTACGTAAACTGGTCCACTGTCAGTGGTGTGAGGAGAGAGTCTTCCTCAAGAAGGGGAACATGGTGGACGGTGAGTTGTTGTGAGAGTCTAGTATACACCTGATGCAACTGATGGAGTTTAACTAAGTATATTTACTAAAGTATTTCACTTAGGTACACATTTGAGGTGATTTTACTTTACTAAAGTAGTATTTCCATATTTTCCTACTTTATACGTCCATTCACAACATCTCAGAGGGAAATATTCTACTTTTGACTTTATTACTTTACAAATGAAATGTAAAGATCTAAATGTTTTTTTTATGAACTGATTGAAAAGTATATATATATATATATAAATATATGTTCCATGAGCATTTAGTCAACAACCATCTTTGCCTCCTCACCGCCTATAATATATATTAGGGATGCTCCGATCGCCAATTTTGGGGCCGATCGCCGATCGCCGGAATCAGTATCTGCCGATACCGATCGCCGATCCGATCGAGTGGGCGGGGCCTAAATGGAAGATTTAAACATCACTTTAAATCTTCCATTTAAAGTGATGTTTAAAACTCAGTTAATGGGGCTCATTCACTGGAGCTTCCACAAACAACAATCAACTTAATTATTACATTCAAATGATGTACATTATTCAAGTTTACATTCACTTTGGATAATATAATAACACGGGAGAAATGAGCGGAAGCGCTCTCTCCCTCTCTCTCTCCCTCTCTCTCTCCCCCTCTCTCTCCCCCTCTCTCCCTCTCCTGACAGCCCGTCAATATCTCATGCAGCTCGCTGATCCAGTAATGTGTGAGGCCGACAGTGAAGAATAAACATATTTATAACTAGTTTAGCTTGTTCCAGAGGTAGATAAAATAGCTAAGTGTGTTAGGTCTAACTCTTGTGTGTTTCGCTCCGCTCACCGCTCCGTCACAGCGGGTGGAGCTGCAGCATTTCTGCTTCACACACACGTTGCATACCGCTTTTTTACTGTCTTTTTCTGACACCTTAAAATAATGCCAGACCGGTGAAGCGGCTTGTTTTGCCGCGTACAGAGAAAAGTGTCATGTATTTTACGTCATGCGATCGGCCCTCGCGATCGGCATGCTTAGAGAGCATCGGTAGAGAGTGAGTATCGGCAGATCTCGATCGGTGACCGATCAATCGGAGCATCCCTAATATATATATATATATATATATATATATATATATATATATATATATATTAAGAGATCCAAATGTAACAGTTGTTGTCAATATGATGTGATATGTGTCCTGTTGTTTATATTAAATTCTTATTTTTTCCCGCAGAGAAGGATATACAGGAAGCTGCAGTACATATGAAAAGTAAATACTGTCCTTTCTTGTGTTTCCTCCAGAAACGCTGCCCTGTAACTGTCACGGAAGTATGCCCGGGAAGACAGCAGTGCAGCTGGGGCCGTTATGGTAAATCACTGCAGCATCAGGCACCGACACACACACCTCACTGAGCTGTGTGATGGGCCCTAATACAACAGCTGCTTCAGAAAACTAGCTTATCAGATACGCTGCTGCTCAAATCTCCAGCCACGATGTCTGAGAGGAGTTATGTTTCAAGCTTTTAGGTTGTAGAAAGTCTGTTTTCAGATGTTGCATGAAAGATTTGTTCTGAACATGGAGAACAAAACTCTGTACAATGGTTTAACCGGACTGAAAATGTAAAAGGCAGAAAGAGACAAGTATAACTTTTAGCAACAGTTCAATAAGAATAGAAGAAATGAGCCGTCATAGGTAAAAGAAACTGGAAGCTTAGCATCAAAATGTGTGCAGATTAAAGTCGGAACAACTTCCTGCTTCAATGTGAAGTGCACCATCATGCTTCTAGCCTGCTGAATTGACTACTTGTGGCATTTGGAAATGGTATTAACACAAACAAAAAGTTAGAACTGTTGGAATATCATCTAAACATACAGACTGATCAATCACAGTTTAAATCTATTCAATATAACACTGAGTCTGCAGAGGGCCCAAAGTGAATCGTTCAAACTTAATATTTAGAGCCCAGTTGCACCGTTAAATACTGATCATGGGTCACAAAACAAATGTCAAATCCGATTGAAATAGTATTCTGTCATTCAACAGAATAAAACAGTTTGTGGTATTATACTCTTTTTGATTTCAAACCTTTCAAAGCTAATGCATGTGTGTGTGTCCAGGTCCGGCCCTCTGTTTAACACAGGCTTCCTGAGGAGGATGCTGTCTGCGGCGGTGAAGCACAGCATGGACGACATCCAGCCGCTCGTCAAAACTCTCATCTGCGAGTCGGACTGCACCACCCTCAAGTCGCTAGTCCACGGGTCGTCTGCTCTCAGCAACCAAGGTGACACATCCCCACCTGTAACGCAGGGTGTGTGTATGACAAAACAACGTGTTGACAAGATGTTTTGTTCCCTCTCTGCAGTGGAGTGCGGAGTCGTCATCAAGACCTTGAAGAGCGGAGACGAGTCGGGTCAGGCTGAGCAGTCCGGTGAGTCAGAAGGGAATGTACTCCTTTTTTCGGTTGTTTTTAATGTACTTGTACACAGAAATGTACATAAAAAAGGAAAAATAGCTGACCTGTTACTTACTCTGTCCTCTAGATGGCAGTGTTGCTGAACTGCACCCACTGCATAGAATGTGCATTTATGATGCTCTGCAGGAACATTTAAATGACTTTTTTAACCTATTTATTTTACCCTTAAAGTTGATTTTACTGCCAGAACAGCCATTTCACACACTGTATGACAGTTCCACTGACTGTGCATTCTGTATCTGCCAGTTCAAATACTTCAGGGACACTACAAGGGGCCAACATGTTCTCTGTAGTCGCAGCATCACAAATACAAATAATGTCTGGTGCAAAACGTCACATTCATATTTACCCAAAATTCAGTCTGACGGATTTGCTAGCTTTTGAAACTTTGAGATATCCACTAGAGTCACTCCTGGGTTTAGCAGAGTTGGACATGAATCCCTCTCAGATCTAATTTCCAGTATTCCTGCAGGGAAGAGGAAGTCAGGAGAGGAGTCGGGGAATGTGTTGAAGAGGATGAAGTGTGAGGCGTCTCTGGATCACCCGCCCTTCTACTACAGCATCCACCGCCACAGCATCCGAGGCATGAACATGCCCAAGTAAGTGACCTCTGACCCCAGCACATCAATGGACCGCACTGGTTGACATTCCATTATTATCATGGACACATCGTCTGTACTTATTTGACTGGATCCAACTGTTCTGCTGTTAAATATTCACCAATTGAGGATTAATACACTGCTGGAAATAGTCCTCAAAAAATTGTCCTCCATCCACCATGTTTCCCTGCTTGAGGAACTACAGCGAGCAGCTGCTGGGAAATGGCTGAGACTAAACAAATGCTGAATATAATTAAAAAGAATATATATTTAGGTCTGCAGTAAAAAAAACAATGGGCCTGGAGCTAAAAGCCACACAAAGTCAGAAAGTATTAAGACAGTAACACCATGTTGGTTTGCACATGGGATTGGTTGACAAAAAGAAAAATGAAGAATAACACAAGATTTATTCTTTATCTTTTTATAGAAATATTGAAACACAACTTCAGACGCTTTAAATATAGACATAAAACTGCAGGAACATTTGATCTAACTTTATTATTTCTCTATATTTCTCTTCACAGGTTGAACAAGTTCCTTCAGTACCTGACGGAGGCCGGCTTCAGGGTGAGTCGGACCCACTTCGACCCGACGGGGGTTCGAACCGACGCCACGCTGGAGCAGTTTAAATCTGTCCTCACCAAGTACAGCGTGCCCACCAACACCAACGCCAGCGTCCCTCAGACGAGTGTGAGCATGGACAAGACGCTGTGAGAGAAACGCAAAGCCTTCCACGCTTTGAAACTAAATCAGTCTGCTCGTCTGGTTTCTATTCATCTAAAGAAAGTTGCACTGAAACTACGTAGACATGTTTTCACTTTAATATATCTTTAATCAAACCAAAAACAGATTTTTGCATATTAAACTGCGGATCCTGCAGCACAGAGGAGCCTCATTTATCTGCTGTTTCTCTATTTATTTTCAGAGTTCTTATGAAAATCTATGGGTTACAAGTTGTGATTTTATTTTCTAGCTGGTTAACTGTCTTGTTTTATTTCTTGTGTGTAAAAAAAAAAACATTAAATAAAACAAAATCAACACAAAGCCGGCTTTTTACTGATTTCCTGTCGTTCTTAATTGAGCAAAATACAATTATCCTGTTTTCTGAGCGATAAAATCAATTAATAAATGTTTTATTTTTGTTGCATAAAGGTTTTCTCTCTTTCTTTTATAGTAATCCAAGTCGCATCAATTACCAAACAGAACATGATGCTATCTCCTCAATGAGAACTCACCATTTCACACCCCGTTCTGAGAGCCTCGAGTGGTTGAAAGGACAGAAAAGACTTCGGGTTTATCAGTAACCTTTAGAAGGACATGGGGAATCTGTGAAAGAGATAGCCAGAATTGTTTTAAATCATAAGCAGCTTGGAAGGTTTTAAAGCTGATGATTAAATCATGTGTTAATCTCATTTGTTTTGAGATTGTGATTACCTGCTGAATTTACACTGGAGGCTCAACATGAGGGCAATTACTAGATGACTACATGATGCTTATTAAGCTTCAGGGAAACAAGCAGTTCACACAGCAAAGGCCACATATAAAGGAGTCATCTGACCATTATCTGCTAACTCCTTTGATTACAGCACCAAATGCATTGGGATTCAGCTCAGCAGATGTCAATGATTGATCAGATCGTAGCTTCACTTTTTTGAGTTAATCAGTGCAGATGTAATCACTGCTAATCATCCAGAGTGATAGCACTACAGGTAAGAAACACAGATGAACACCCCCCACTACAGAGAGACCACAATGGAAATATGCCGTAGGGCTTTATTGTGTAAACCCAAATGTTCTTTTGATGTAGCAATTTGTAGCTGTGGTGAAGCTGCATTTGAGTTTATCAACAGGTAATCTTGTGTCTTTTATAGCAGGAGGTTAATCTTCGGTGTGCTCGTTGCCAGAGGTGACTTTTCTGTAGGTTCTGAACCTCACATTAGAACTGAAGGAAGTGTTCAGATTGTTGACTTTTGTAAAAGTGGTAACAAGTTATGACCTCATTATTCAAAATGACCCATTTCAAATACATAATATATTATGGTATTGGGTCATAGAAAGTGACCCATGAATGTGTTTATCACTTTAAAAGGGGACATACAATGCTTATTTTCAGGTTCATATTTGTATTTTGTGTCTCTGCTGTGACATGTCTCCATGCTTTAAAAAAAAAGCTCTTTATTGTTCTCATACTGCCTGTGCTGCAGCACCTCTTTTCACCCTCTGTCTGAAACCAGAGCCCAGTCTGCTCTGATTGGATAGCTGACCGGCTCTGTTGTGATCATATACAATGTGTTGGAGCACTAGCCAATAGAGGCGCAAGTGTTATGTTGTGATGTCACTATGTCACAGAAATAAACAAATGAGTCCAATGGAGGGGTTTCAGGCAGGGGAGTGTGGGAGAGAAACTCCCTGTGATGTAAACTTTGGGATTTTAGCTAAAAAAAAAAAATTACAAACAGGAAAGGGAAAACAACAAAAATAACAATAGGGCCTCTTTAATGTAAAAAAACATTATATTTTTCTCATACTGTCAATCTGAATATACCTGTATTTATTTACTCGTCTAAAACGCTCTGTTTTAGCGCCTGTCTCTTTAAGCCACGCCCCTGAGAAAGCTCATTCTGAACTGATTAATTTGCAAGCTAAATTTGGCACACCTTTGCAAAGGTAGTCTCAAGCCATGCATGAGACAAGGGAACCAACTCTTTATTCCTTGTTGAATCCCTTAGATCGTTTGGTATTCACTTCAGAATAACTCAGGTTTGTGCAAAAGCACTGAAAAATGAGTTTTTAATTACAAATCCACTTTTATGATGCAGCAGTCAAAGGTGGAGTTTTTGTTTTGTTTTTATAATCTGTGATGCTGTGTAGCTTAACCTGAAATAATATATCATTAGTTATTAGTTGATTCATTGTTTGTATCATTAATTAGGATATGCAGAGTGACTTAAATAAATATGTCCCTACTGGAGTTGAATTAGAAAGTATAACAGAAATGGTAATATGCAAGTATCTCAAATGTGTACTTAAGTAGGCTACTACATGACTAATGTACTTTGTTATTTTTCACAACTGTAAACCATTTGAGAAAATTAAATAATCACCATATCTGACAGTATTAATTAATAATTTTAATGGAATGATTTGATCTAAATTACATTTAAAGATGTCGATTGCTGTTCAATAAGTAATCAATGCACCTGATTCAACCCCCCAGGGCATCATGGGTGTTATCCAGAGGTGAAAAAAAAAGGTGAGTTGGCTTTCTGGCTAACGTCACTGAATGACACGGTGCTCAGGAGGAGGAGAGGAGGAGGAGGAGGGCGTTTCCTCCTTCCCTTCCTCCCTCCTTCCTCGCTGCCGCTGCAGATCGATGTGTCGGAGCTTGTACCTGAGGACTGAACCTTACCTGTGGATCCTCTCCCGGCAGCAGCACCATGGGGATCTCCGCGTCCAGTCTGCTGGATGAGACCAAATCCAACTACATCAAAGGTAACATAATGATAAAATTGGAGCGCGTTTTGGAGCGACGTGGAGATTACGCACCGCGCTCTCACCGCGTTTCCTTTAACACAAATCTGCTCTTTTGGATTGATATTTTTTCTTCAGAAAACTTCTCCTTCTTTCTTTCTGTGCTGTTTTGGAGCTTAAGATGTTAGTGATACAAGGACATCGCTAAATCAGTCAAGGATGTGTGGTTAATCTGCTTTAGAGGAATCTGTGAATTTCTTGCTCGGAATGTCTCATTCAAATCACTCTTCTGACAGTTTCTGTGGAGACAAACAACCTTTCCCCCTTAACTTGTTTCCAGAGATCTGAATATCTTATGTGGAACCTGTGTCTCTGCTTTATTTTGCACATAAATATTTCCCTAGATCAAAATCAACATTTCCCCAAGCAGTATTTTTTTCTGACAGATAATAAACTCAGGGAGGAGGTTTAATTCTGCTGTCAGTGTTTTCGGCTCAGCTATCTGCGGGGCTGATCAGGTCATTCCTGCCTTTCCAGTCCTGCCGGGGAGAAAAGTGAGCTGGGAGAAAGTGCTAATACCTGTTAGCCCCTTTTGTCTCCTCTGCTGCTGGGTGTGTCCCTGGCAGAGGACAAAAGGTGCTTCTGCTGTGAGTCTCCCCACCTGTGGACACAGGTGGGGAGACTCACAGCTGTTAACATCACATGTGAGGACAACACAGTGGACTTTGAGGCATTTTTCTATTTTCTGACCAAACAATGAATAGATGAATCTGGAAAATAATCAGCAGATAATGGAAAATGAAAACTATTGCAGCCCTAATGATAACCTGTTAGCTGACAATCCACCATTGCAACAGGACAGGTCTGGCCCCAGTCTGTGCATCTTGTGTATTATGATCATATTCCAGTGCCAGAAATCAGATTTTCTCAAAGATAAATGCCTGAAAATGTTGCAACTTTAGTGGAGGAGCTAGGCCAGGTATATTTTAATTAGTGCCACCAAGTTTAATCCCATCTGTCTCGTGCATGTGGCCATACACGCTTTTAGTTGCATTTTCCAAGTTTGTGAAACTGTTTGTACGGGTGGCTGTCACACAAAAGTATAATTGAGGAGTAATTTATATCCGGCTTATGTCAATGAACAGAAACTTAGACCCTAGCCACACGGAGACGGTAACGAAAACGAACCAAATTCGATATCAAAAAAGTCTTCCGTCCACACGCAATCGGCACCAGAAACGTGTCCGTCCACACGAGACCGCTCGACCCGCTGGAGACGCTGTAGTACATATGCCGGGCCTGTAAGTGGCGCTGTACTTCCGCCACAAAATACACCAAAAGCAGCGAAGAAGACTTCACGAGCATGCATGGTTGCCCTTCTGTTTATTCTCCGCGGTGGATTTAGCAGCAGAGGTGGGGAGAGGCAGGGGCCAGGGCTCTGGCTCTTTTTCTCCCTCCCCGAGGCAAGCGTGTGCTCCTGCTGTAAATCTCACCGGTAGTCCACCAGCAGATGAAAAACACCCACCTCTCTTCCAAGGGACGAGGGAACCGTGCGGCAGAGTTTCCGTTATAATTTTTTTCCGCTGGTCAACATGTCCGTTAAAGTTGAAATCGAACCGTCTATATGATAGAGAACTGTAGCGGATACAACCCGTATCGTCTCCGTGTGGCTGCAGCCTTAGTAACAAAATACATTTGCAGAGTTGTTGCTCAGGGACCAGGGTTCCCCCTGACCTAAGTTTTCCACTGAGCATGTTAGCATAACAGAAAGAGGAGAACACAGTCCTCAGATCACCAGCTGACTGGAGGCATGCTCATGTTTCATAGGGATGGATGAGGGCTGCTTCAAATTATTTTTATAATTATCTATAAATCTGTTTGTCATTTTGTCCGTAATTGATTAGTCTATAAAACATCACAATGTCTTATGTTGTCCAGCATATCCTCCAAAACCCAGAGGACATTGAAGGAATGAGCTGACCATTTAGATCCTTATCTGGGCTGATAACAAGACTAAGACCCCATTTACACGCAAACGCATACGAAACGCAAACTAACCGAATACGATATCAAAAAAGTCTTCCGTTCACACGAGACCGCTCGTAAGCGCTGGAGACGCTGTAGTACATATGCCGGGTCTGTAATGGCGCATTTCCACTACACGGTCGGCCTCGGCCACACTCGGTACGGCTCGGTACGGCTTGGCCGCGTTGGGCCTTAACAGGGCCGACTCACTTCATGCTGCGCTTCCATTACAGTTTAGGAACTGGGGTAGTTACTATAGTAACGCAGTGTAGGCGGAGCCGTGACGTCATCTTCAATGAGAAATCCAGAAACACAACACAGCCGTTAGCTGTGAGCACTCAGAGCTCACAGCTCCTTATATATGTTCAGAAACTCGACAAAAGTTAAACAAGTACAAACCACAGACTGCCTGTGTCATGGTGAATACAGTCGCTGCTGTATTTATGTCTGTATAGGCCGTTGTTGTGAGTGTGGACGGTCGGGGCATATACTGCGTTAGCTTAGCCAATCTCCATCTAGAAAAACACGAATTTTAAAAGGTTTTTCGCCTGCCGTCTGTCTGCAGACTTGACAAAGCATTAATTCATGGTTTTTACTAACCGGTATCAGTATGTTGTTACTTCGGCATCATTTTGAAACGTGTATTACAATTAAATCACGGTCAAATATGTCCATCTTGTTGTAGTTCTAGCCCTCTTGCCAGCGCTCCTCTCTCTAGTTTAGCATACTCAGCCCGACTCAGCCCTGTTTGTTGGCCCCGATAGAACCACAATTTTCTAGGGCCAGAAAAGAGGGGAAAAAGTGGCCCCGCGCCGTGCCGCGCCGGAACGAGGCCTAGTGGAAGCACAACCAAAAAAGGGGACGGCACGACACGGCACGCTTAAAGCGAGCTACGCGCTGCAATGTAGCTCAGTAGCTACTGACCATGCTACAGCAGTGAGCAGCAGAGGTGGGGAGAGGTGGGGCTATCGCTTCATCGTTATCAGGAAATGATCGTATAGGGCGTACACACGGAGCTGATTACAACCGTTTGCGTTCTCGTGTAAACAGCACATGAATGCATCAGGATTCAGCTCGGCTGTAGACGATGATTAATGAGCTTGTTGCTTCTCTTTGTGAAACAATCAGAGCAGCTTTAATCCCCGCTAGACATAACGAAAAAGAAAACATCCAGAGTGAGAGCAATGCAGATCAGACGCCTGACTAAAGTTAGTTTGGTCATCATCAGTTTCATCCAACAGTCTGCATCAGGCTGAAGTCACTTTAATGGGATGGGTAGGATTGTTTGAAGAGGGGTTGCATAAGGTTTATTTATCAGTGTATTAACTAGATAGCTGTCGGCTTGGACAAACAGGAATACCAGACTCCCCACAAAAACACTAATTTAATTTAATTTTTCCGTAGTGTTCATGGTAGTTTCTACGGTGCATCAAAGTCACACAATAGCGCAAACTAACCAACCCAAAAACTAGCATAAACTAAGAAAACTGACTGCAAACGTACTGTTCTTGTCAATTGAGTCTGGCACTACTGTTGTTTCAAACTGGTTGCATGCCAAACACTATTTACTGTATAATAACCTTGAGGCAGCATAAGACAAATATTATACACCAAATGACTGTCGGTGCCTTTAAAGAGAAAATGGATAATGGCTTCAGTTCACTGTTGTAGTTTTCCGACACCAAGGTTATGCTGGGAAAATATTTTAAATATGGCTCACACTTAAACTGGTGTTGATACTTTTTAGTTAGACCTTTTGACAGGTGGCTAAAATCCATTTGCTGCCGCCCCCGTTCAAAGCAGTCCATTAGCTTCCATGCTGGTACTCCTGTCTGCTTCTCTGAACTTGTAAATGTACTGTACTACCTTATACAACATCAACTACGCCATTAAAGTTGGATATTGAACATCAGGACTTGTATCGGCTTCATGTTGATGACTGTGATCAGAAAGTTCTTGCGCTTCATTCACAGGTCTAGAAACCAGGTGTGCAGAATCAAAGCCATTTTGGCTTCTTGGGTCACTTGAACAACAGACAGGGTCAATGCTTAGTAAAACCACGCTGTTGTAAACCAACAAAATAAAGGTGAAAAGTCAGAGAAAGCCGAGAAAAAGGTGAAAAGAGAACAAAGACCAAAACTGCAACAATGATTTTTTTTAAACGCAGAATCGTCTGGTGTCCATTTTTAGATATTATTGTAGTACTAAGAAAAGATAAAGAATCGTCTGTGAAAATGCCCCCGTGTCTGTTGTTGATGTTGACACCGATTGCCGCTGCTGTTGCCATAGTTACAGAGAAGGAGGATCATATGTTGAAAATGGAGAAGTGAAAATATTGATCCTGTGAACTAGAAAATCTTCGAAATGTGTTTTTCAGACTTTGCTGTAATCAGCCCTCACTCTGCCCGCTGGTGAACAATATGCTGTATGTAATCAAGGTTGGAGGAAACCAGACTGTGGTTTAATGGGGTCCTTTTAGGTGAGGTTTTCTCCGGCAGATCATGTAGTTTTCTATTTTAGAAGCAGCTCACTCACTCTGCGAGGAGCTTGATGTTTGTCTTGTCAGATTTTCTTGTAAGGCTGTTTATTTGAGGGCTAACCCAAAAAGCAGTGTCACCGTGCATCAATTTCTTGTGGGGAAAACATTCCTCTCTTTCAACAGTTACATGTGTGTGTGCAGGGTGGAGGGAGGAGGGTGGAGTGGGTGTGTGCTGGAGAGTTTGCTGAATATCTGTTGGTAGTTTACTGGGTTGGTCTGGTTTTTGTTGAGCAGGCTGGTTTGGATGAGGTTAACGTGTGATTCACGAGTTGACTGCAGTCCAGTTTGGGTGGAGGCAGATTCCACACATTGGTCCTCTTTGTGAGCCGGGCTGTAGAATGTAACTTTTCTTTGGTTTCCAACTATGACTGACAACATTTCGTCACCATGCAGATGGCCTCAACCAGTCGTTCCCAATCTTTCTCCTTAAGGGACCCCTTTATCATTGCATTGACTT